CCTGTAAATTCTTACTATATATAGCTATTAATTTAGCAGGTAAATACCATATATTTATATGGCCTGTTATAGTTATCAAAAGTAGTCATTTAAAGTCCGGTTTTAATGTGATTTGAACGCAAGGCGTTACAACATGAGTGTGGATATATGACACGTGGGAGGTTTCGCAATCTAGGTAGCACAGAACTGATAGAGCTATCCTGTATTCATAGAGTTAGTTAGTTTATGGTTTCCTCGATCCTGCAGTAACACGGGACCAATAAGGGTTAATGGATGACCCTTCCTGGACCTCTTGGAAGAACAGTTTCACGTAACTCTATGCATGGTTCTATAATTTTACACTGTTCATTCGTATGTGGTGCAGAATAGGCCATCTCTTATTGATCCAATGTCACTACAGGAGGAAACATAAACTAAACTAACTTTATTTATACTGGACAGCTCTATCAGTTCTAAACTGTTCTTCCTAGAAGTTCAGTAAGGGTCATCTCTTATTGATTCAGTGTTACTACAGGAGGAAATCTAAACTAAACTAACCTTATAATAGTTTTTTTTGTGGAAACACCACGTAAATTTATTACTGCAATAATAAATTTACGTGGTGTTTCCACAAACAAAACTATTATAAATTTTATCGCCATGCAAACATACAAAGAACTTAAATTAACCTTATTTATACTGAATGACTCTTCAGTTCTAAACTGTTCTTCCTAGAGCAATAGAGGTCCAGTACGGGTTAATCTCTTATTGATCCAGTATTTCAGTGGCAGTGTTACTACAGAAGGAACCCTAAACTAAACTAACTTTATTTATACTGGATAGCTCTATCAGTGCTAAACTGTTCTTCCTAGAGCTCCAGTATGGCACTGCCTTTATTATTGGTCCAATGTTACAACAGGAGGAAACGGAAAAAAAATTCTGCCACAATTGTTAGGTGAAGTTATGCTGAAAAGGAGTATTAAAGTACCGATCAAACGAAGATATAGTGAGAGTTGGCAGTAACGCATTGTGACAGGGGATATTTCAAGTTCTAGATTAACAAAATAAAGGTCGGATGAGTGTTCCATGACTATGTACTTAAATAGAATACATGATAGTGTTGGGAAGTATTAAGAACAGCTAACCAAGGGCGCATGACTGCCAAAATTCACGCACTCTCATTCTCGTTTGATCAGATTGAGGACTTTAATACTCAGTATTTGTTTTAATCTTTGTAAAGTCGGTTAACAAGTCAATATTTCACCTTTTTAAGTCTTGATCTTCTTTCTTCAGTGGATATCCTTCACGTCAAGTCAACTACATCATTGGAACTGGAGTGTTCCAGATCTGGAAATAGGAAACAAACCTACATGTTTATGACGCATGGATTTCTGGACACGATCACTAACAAACGGATCAACTGAGAGAAGTAGTGACAGCAAAATGATCTCCAGTATAGAGAATGTGTGTGTCCCAGGTGAGTGCTAATTACATAATGTATAAGCCTTAAATAATGTAATTCTTTAAGCCTATACGGAAGAACGCTAGCCCTGGGGTTTATCCGTATATGCACAGCAGCACCACCACAGGAATTTCGTCATTTGGTTCTATCTAGAACGTATATTAATTTCGAACACCATCCGTACAACTTGGTTCGTAATTTGTGTGACATGAGCACAGACGTACGAATTTACAAAAGGCAAACAATGAAATGTAACAAGCATATATCACTCGGCATAAAGCCTGTTTACACTAGCAGAGTTTCTGTGATCACAGTAGGAATTTTGCATCGGTAAATTCTAAGCTGAACACTGACTGTTGGTGTTAAACACTTACAAACCTTCAAAACTTAGAATTTGCTTATATGCAAAATTCCTACTGTGATCACAGAAACTTTGATAGTGTAACCAGGCTTAAAGATATATAGCTGAAACAAATGGCAGTTCAAAGGAAAACGCCCACGCAGAGGCTGAGCTAAAGGTTTCCTCCTATAGTTACACAGTATAGCTACGTGGTGTGAATCAAGCTGCTACGTTAATTTTTCGCATTTTCTAAAAAATTGGTACAGTAGATGCATGTGTATCCCCATTACGCATCGGATCTATACGACATTGAGATTGTTTAGATATCAAATGAAATCGCTCTCACTATGTCAATATTTATCTAACATTCGGATTTTTGGTTTAATGCGATTACATTAATCTGAGCATGTTGTAAACAAATCTTCCCGGCTTGAGTTTTTCAACCAATTATTTTGGTAATAGCAATCACATCCTACAGGCTGCAGCTTGTACATGAGCATCCAGGCGTAATCGAGACAATGCACAATGTCAGTGATCAAACATATGGACAATATCAAAGATATTTTATATATTTAGTTTTTGGTATAAAGTAAACTTAAGCAATGCACAGCTATACCTGCACTTTCTAGCCTGCAAAGAAATAATTCAACCATGCAGCTTCATTGACTTCACTGCAAAACATGTATGCGTCTGCAGCACCGTATTGTACAGATTGGTTTTGTCGTTTCTTGTTTGCCGATAACCTTACCAGGGGTGAATGCCTGAGCGAGGTCCTGTTGGTATGATCTGATATAGATACATTGAAGTCAGTCATTCTTATTATTTCTTTTATATGTGCCAAACAAAGAGTGTTAATCGTGATCTTTCATAAACTATCAGATTAGCTAAAAGTAGGACGACTGGTACGTGATGTGACAGTGTTCACAATATAGTAAACTCCATTGCACACCTCTTTGGCACTCAACTATTTATATACAACAATAAAAATATCAGTGAGGGTCCCACACTAGACAAAGAGTAATGTACTAATGTTTTTAATCTAGAATGTATCGGTCTTAAACGCCGATATCGAATCTCAACTTGTCAAATTTTATGTACAAATTTTAACCACCATTGCTATCTGCCACATACATGCATGCATACCATAAACTATTCCCTTATTGAAATATAACCCTTGGCCTTGTAGTTATTAACTGATATGTCATTATTTCACCGCAATGTAACGGTTATTCCCCATGCATTAAACAAACACTCTAAGAATAGTAAAAAGTGTTACGAAACGTAGCAACAAGCTGTTCAATAGCACTCGCTAATTATTATTGTTTTTTTCTATCATTTCAACGACAACAGATTATTTACAACGACAAATTATCGCGTCACATTTGCTTAGGTTGATGAAGGTTCATGTAGAATGTGAGGATAAGATTTAAATGCCCGAAATGTCCACAGCTGTTACGTGTCTATTGTATCGTAGAGATATTTTTGCTTGTTCTGATAAAGCAGCAAGGAATGTAGTGTACTGTATACCATCACTGATGGTCAAGAAATGTTGTATGATGATTTTGAATGAAGTCAAACTCCTGATCCGTACCCAACGTCCCAACTATGATATCAACTAACATTAGTCATTACTAAATACTAATAGACCCGATAATGTTGTATTCAACAATGTAGGAGGATATTGGTCCGATCTAAAGAACCAATATGGACACCACAGTAAATAAATTAGGAGTAGCCACTGATCTGTGTGGTAACTAGTTGGTAAATATTAACATTTTTCACAAGCACCATACCTTAAAAGTTAACTCTGAATCGTAGACCGTCCTTCTCTGTATATAAGCTTCTTAAGTCCTCCAAGTTTCACAGACTGTAAGATCTTTCCGCGTTCATCAGATGCAACATCAAGCCTGCTATGTGTGTTATTCTATACCTCCGACAGTACAATATGTTTCTGCAGACACCTCTTGCCGTGATTTTCATGCCGCGATTCATTCAACACCTAACAAAGCTTTTCAGAAATGATCTATCCATTTGCGACGCCGCTGTTTTCATTGCGTTATGAAAGGTCTGTAATAAAGTATACTGATTGTCGAAATATTTCCTAGTGTTTGAGTCTAATTGTCAAGGGCGTTGCCTGCTCGTGCACCGAGTTTGACATGGGTAGATCGGGACACGTTCTTGAATTGACTATCCTAATGCGATCTGATGTAATACAGAACTTACTGCTGAAAGAAGAATAGTTAGATCGTGCAAGGGTAATACATCTTCTTCAATTTTAGCTATCCAGAAGTGATCTGATGTTGTACAAATCTCACTGCTATAGTTAGGCATGTGGGGTAGTACACGTTTTTGAATTGACTATCCCAATATGATATGGTGTTGTACAGAACTTACTGCTGAAAGAAGCATGTTAGATCGTGCAAGGAAAATACATCTTCAATTTTAGCTATCCTAAAGTGATCTGATGTTCTATAAAATTCACTGCTAGTTAAGCACGGTTAGATCATGTGGGGTAGTACACGTTCTTGAATTGACTATCTCAAACTCATTAATAATTCATGAGAAAATTAGCGAATGAACTCACCCTAATTCGTCACATGATTGAGGTTGGATACCGCAAGGAAACACGCTAAAAATTATATACCATCACTGTTGTTAGATGAAAAACGGTTTTCATCTAATAACTGAGATCCTAATTACAAATTCAAGTCAAAACACAACAATATACTATAATAATATATATAAGCCAATGAAATGTTTTCGTTTGAGATGTTGTGTAAACAACTCGTTTCTCGTGTTTCATCAGGGGACCAAACACTCGAAAACAATAAAACACTCGCGCTCGTGTTTCATACAGTTTTCTCGTTTTGGATCCCCTGATGAAACACTCAAACTCGTTGTTTACAACTTACTGCTGAACGAAGCATACTGAGTTAGATCGTGCAAGGGTAATGCATCTTCTTCAATTTTAGCTATCCTAAAGTGATCTGATGTTCTATAAAATTCACTGCTAGTTAGGTATGGTTAGATCATGCATATGCAGTACATGATCTTGCATTTTGGCTATCCTAATGTGATACGGTGTTGTACAGAACTTATTTTTGAATGAAGCATAGTTAGATCGTGCAAGGGGTAATACATCTTCTTCAATTTTAACTATCCTAAAGTGATCTGATGTTATACAGAACTCACTGCGATATTAAGCATGATTAGATGATACAGAGGTAGTACATGTTTTTAATTGTGGCCATTCAATCGAATACAACCATTACATTCGCTTGGCAATAAAGTGATTGAATCAAAGATACACAAGTCAAAATAACACGTATATTTCAAAGATGAAAAAGGACATAAACACACGTAAACAACAAATGCGTATAAGAATATTACAAGCGAAAAAAACACAACTATTAGTGGGTTGCAATCAATCTTTTGAGATTTAACAAACAACGATACAGCGGCCATGCTTGAGGTAAACATGTATTCTTCAAGTACAAAAGTCGCTAATTAAAGACCCTTAATTAATCTTGTTAGATTTGCTTCCCCAAACATGGCCGCCACATCTCATCACGACAAATTAAAGTATTACACGTTAACTGCACCAATTTCAATACCAATTAAAATATGGCTGTCCCGAAGTTGTTTTCTATGGTAATTCAAGACATCCAAAATTTACATAAACCATACTAGACTGCAGAAAATTCAAACCTAACAACAATATATTATATTCTAGCTACACAGAAATTATTCATTGTTCATTCACTGTCTGCCAGTTAAAATAATCCAACATTCTTCTTTGCCTCTCCTTGCTTCCAGGTTGATAGTTTGTTGAATGCTTCGATGGTAATTTTAAAAACACTTTCAAATTCACTTTCGTGTAGGTAACGCTAAAACAAATCAATAAATGAATATGCTGAATAGGTAATACCATGGTCCACGAAGTGTGAAGGCACCGATACGAAGACGCTCCTAGTTCACTAACACATGTGTTCTATATGAACCCATTTTGTGCTTTATTGAACCCAGTTATTAACTTTATGAACTAAATCAGTGTTCAACTTGAGTGAGCCTAGGCAAGGTGAAAAAGTGAGGTGAAGTTCAAAGGCACTTATAAATATCTGCTTTAATAATCACTGATGAACTTAGTCACTGATGAACCTATTTCTGTGTTCTAATGAAACTGATCTGTTCTCTAATGAACCTAATCTGTTCTCTAATGAATCTTGTCTGGCCTTTAATGAACTTAATTATGTGCTCTAATGAACCTAACCTGTTCTCTAATGAACCTAATCTGTTCTCTAATTGACGAACTCTTTATCTTCAGAAAGAGTCGCCTTATTGTTGTTACCTCTTTATGACAAGGATCGACACCTTCTGGTGGGGGATTTTCCTGTAACTCAGCCAGCGAGTATTTCTTGTTGTAGACCTTGAGTGCCTAAATATAGAGGTACAGTTCATACGTTAATTTGCTACACCAGATGGGGGGTACTATCATGGTGTACTAGATGCATGGTGGTACTATATCATATGCTTTTGAATGATTAAGCAGATACTGTACTGGGATTAACATCTCATGCATTTCTAGTCTACGTACATCATCTACACTTGTCACTCCACCACCGGCACTGAGCTCTTGTTTAAGTTGTTCAAAACTCTTTCCTTGTGCAGCTTTTTCAGCGCTCCACGATGGGAACCAGCTGGTGAAGCCAATAGGTTCATGACCTTGTTTCACCACCAGCATATTCACTCTCCCTGCTGGACGACCATCATTAGAGCTCTCAACATATTTCTAGATTGACAAACACAAGAGTAGTTTAGCTGTCTTGCCTGACTAGCTGCTTACGACTGTCATGGGGATTTAGACAGCGAATCATGTGGCGTGTGGATTGGAATAGATTTTGAGAAAATTTGAATATGATTTACGTCCACTCAATGAGTGATTGGCTTGGACAAGAATGGCTATTGTGTTAAAATTGGATAGTCAATATACCAACTTCACTTGGTATGCAAATTGGCCATTTCAACATTTATTTACACTTTCGAGATCGAGTTAAATGATATTCAGGTATGAAACATTGCATTCTGATTAGCATGACAATGAAGCCAAAATATTACATCTCTCAGAAATGTAAGTTCACAAAAAATAATTTAGGATAATGAGGATGATAAGGGCTAGATAGGTGACAAAGTGTTAGGTTGACTTGCGTAAGACTGAACTAAATACCTGCAGGGTCAGCAAGCCTTCTTTCTTCTCGACGGCATTACAGTCTTTGCCAAGCCAGAGGAAGACATCTTTGAACGTATCTAAGATCATCACATCGTCTTCCTCAAGATCATTCTGAGTGAAGTCAAACACTTCTTCAGCGTAGAAATATCCTTTGTCATTGGAGCAGTGGAAGAGACGAGGTGGTCGGACGTCCATGGTGTTGTCCTCTTTGGGTGCGGACACGTATTCCTTCTTACCGCCCAATGCATCCCAGAATGCTTGAGGTTCTTGGCCTTCCATCACGAGTTCGTATCGTTTCGCCGATTCAGAGATCATCTGTGTTGCTGCTTTCGCGTATTCCCGTTCGTCACCACTCGCGCGCTTCCCGCACCACACGAAAGATCCACGAGCTGTAACTAAGATGAACGCATCGTTGCTATTTAAAGACGTCGCGGTCAAATCAACTTGTATACAGCGCACATTCCATTCGTTAGTTCCGCGCACTTTATACAAATGAACATTGCCGCCTTGTTCTTCGGCTTCGTTTACAGTCGTGGCGCCCTTTGATCGCCCGCCACGCTTCACGATCATTTTTCCTTTGAGCATGCGTAAGAAGTGTTCTGGTTCTTGTCCTTGGACTACTCGTTGTTGCACAGGTTCTCCACCGAACTTGTCATCCAGTTTCGTACTCAATAATGCTGCTGCTCCCTGTTCATCTTGTGTGCTTTCAAGACCCTGGAGAAGATGAGTATTTGGTTCAGAACTAATGTAGATCATCGTTGCATTGCATCATGGTGTATTGTATTCCATTGCATTGTATTATTTTGCACAGTCAATATACCAACTTTCATCTTTTCTATTCTTTTGTATACTCTATTGTATTGCATTGCTTTACATTGTATGCTATTGTATGGAATTGCGTATAATTATTTGACATGGTATTGGCATGGCATAGCATGGCATGGGATAGCATGGTGCATGGTATGGTATGGTATGGTACAGTACGGTATGGTATTTGTTATGGTATTTGTTATGGTATTTGTTATGGTATTTGTTATGGTATTTGGTATGGTATTTGGTATGGTTTTTGGTATGGTATTTGGTATGGTATTTGGTATGGTATTTGGTATGGTATGGTATGGTATGGTATGGTATGGTATGGTATTAGTATAATATTCATGTGTAAATACTGAACCAAACTCACCAACCAATAGTAGATGATATACTTGTCATTCTGTTTGCCGTATGTGTATAAGATAACGTAGCTGTCTCCTTGGAAGAAGATACCATATCTGCTCTTTGGCCAGTCCACCAGTTCATAATCTTCAACTCTCCATATCTGTACGCTACCTCGTGCGTCATCAGGCATGTGCGACACTTCACTGCGCTGGCTAACGTGCATACTTTTCACGTCAAATGTTTTCACTTCTCTGCTGCTACCACGGGCTAGGTAAAGTTTTGGTGAAAATCACAGTATGTTAGATGTAATGGAGCGTCGATAGAGCCGTGTATATGCAATCAGTTAACAATGATTTATACGCAGCACACGTATTCATACTATTTCAGCTCGTACAATAGGCCCAGAATTGCCTATTGATATGTTTGATAAGCATGTCTGGGTTGCAGTGAGCCCTTTGCACAACGCATAACATAACAACCCTGCTATCCAGTCATGATTCGTCAGTGAACGGAATGTTTCATTGCCTTTTTCATTGTTTTGACTTACTTTAGTATTTAAGCAAGGACTGGTACTATTCACATCGTCTCACCCGGAAAAAAGTGCGATCCTGGATCCTGAGGTTTGACATATTTATAACATTGGACTAATGGCCCATTGTGTCATACAAATGATAAATTGCAGTGCCCAAACGAACAGAGCATTGCTTTATATTCGCTGCGTGAGTTTGTTAGTTTGTTCGGAATCGTTAGTAGCAGTACTGTCTGATTATACTTACCACTCGTTGCTACAGGGCTCTTCGGTAATTCATAGTTCCATTTGGCAAATGCGGATTTAAACAATGGTGTCTCAGCACCTTCGATAACTCGAGTGATAGGAGTCCAGTCAGCGTGACCTTTTGCAGCCAAGAAACCTTCCGCTTTCACCATAGAACTGCCTCTCTCGTCTCTGGTTGCCTGTTTTCCAACCCAAACAAATACACCACTTGCTCCGGTATCCAGAATGAAGCAGTCCTGCAACAAATGAAGATGTAAGGTTATTATTTTGTGGTGTAATATACGAAGAAGACAAGAACACTAGCTCATATCACAGAACAAAGAAATACAGATCCTTAATTAAAGGATCTTTCAATTTTTCTTGCAACTTGCAATGCAATTCTACTCTTGAGAGATGTAAAATTGCCAAATACGAGTCTTCATTACACTCCGCTGATGTTTTCTCAACATATCGAAAATTCTTCACTGATTTCACTAATTAACATCTCTCAAGAGTAGAATTGCATTGCAAGTTGCAAGAAAAATTGCACCGTGTAACATGGCCTTAATGTAGGGTCTTGTAGATGGAAATCTCGAGTGTAATTTTATATATTTAGTATAGACCTAACGGGAGCAGTTGTGAAAAAGTGCAACTATATATATAGGCTCTCTGGCAGAAATGGGCGCTATCCCTATACGATATTCCAATGAAGTAATTTTAAGGGTGAATCACATTATTTATGTGATAATGATGCATCATCAAGCTTTTCGAGACTGTGTCTTTTCAAGCAAAATTGTGTCTTTGCTTTTGAGTCTGGAATGTTTTGTAGATCTAATTCTCTATTTCAAGCACGAACTGCTGATGTACGCGCGACGTCGATTTCGATGAAAACGTCACTCGTTATAAGTTTTTCTATAAGTTTACGTGGTAGCCATTATTGTTTTTATTATTATTATTTAAAAATATTTATACACGGTAGCTTATCAACCTGTTTCTACTAAAAATATATAGAGTTTTCTGATAAAGTTTCAAATAATTAAAATGGTTGCTTTTCATAAGGCCGTGTAGAAATTTAAGCTAAGCAGAAGAATAACAATTAACTAAACTATAGTAAATATCATGCATATACTAGACATTATTACATTTATAATATTCCATAAAAACCCAACAAAAACATACACTCTAAGTAACAGTTTTATGAAAAAGATGTTTTATAGCAGTCACTGGTACCTTTGTGTCAAGCATTTTTTGTTCAAGTGGGGCATTTGAGACTTTGGACATAACCACTTTACCATCGCCACCAGAATCTGTCACCCTACACAAGAAAGAAAGAAAGAATGAAAGTTTGATCACTCTGATCCTACCATAGATAATTTATCTGGCTCTAACATGAAACAACTTCGCTACGTCGGAATCTCTAACTGCAAGTTAAATCCTTCCATCTAGATGGAAAGCACGAATTGAAGAAATGTAAACCATGCCTTGTCACTTCTCCTTCTTTGATAGCTGCTCCGCCCCCTTTCTTGTAAGCGTTCCACGACTACCCACTGTTCGTACCTGTACAGACCAACTGGTGCGTTTTCAGCTGCCTTATCTGAACCACCGTCTTTTGCGTCCTTGACCTCATCTGCGTTGCCAACGTTCTCAAAGAATTTGAGTGCACTTGGAGAGTCTTCGCCTGATTCTGTTGTCAGAAATATTTTGGAGTCATTTCAGGTTGAGTTTACGCCCATCAATGGTTTATGCTAACCTAAACTATTATTACTTACGCCTGTATTCTAAAAGCTCACTTACGCTCAAACTCAAAGAGTGGAGGTTCAATCTGAGCTTCCCTTGAGTGTCAGTGCTGTTTTTGAATAGCTGCAGGGTGAGTAGTCTCATAGCAAGGTACGACACTAACCCTCCAGCTATTCAAGACACTCAAGGGAAGCTTAGATTGAACTTCCACTATTTGAGTGTGAGCGTGAGTGAGCTTTTAGAACACAGGCGTTTAAGTATGGTTTGCCAGTCCAATACTCTACCAACTGAGCTACGAGGTCAAGTCGGCTGGAGTAGGTGATATTTCAGAACTCAATCTAGTTCATTCGATAACATATCTAAACTGTTCTTCCTATAGATGTCCAGTAACTACCATACCTTGTTGAAGTGCTGTACATAAGAAACTTAAACTAAACTGACTTTATTTACACTGGATAGCTCTATCAGTTCTAAACTATTCTCCCTAGAGGTCCAATAAGAGTCATTTCTATTGGTCTAGTGTTACTCCAAACGAAATTACTTTTATACAGGATAACTCTAAGTGCACCCCTGCGGTGTTTGGTATAAACTGGAGGTATTCGTCTTACATGTAGCTTGCAATTAACTACAATAGTTTTGCTTCATCAAATTAGTTTAGTTATCCATAAAGAAAAGACCAAAAGACTTACCAATGAAGAAAAGAGCACCCCTTCCAGCTCGCTCGTCGTCTCTGATTTGTCTCATAACTTCAGCCGCCTGTGGAATAACATGCATGTAGTGAATATATCTCATGCAGAGCTGCTTAAAATACCCAAGGTATGGTTGCCTAAGAATATATCTGTAGTTACCTTGATCTTCTCGCGACGGCTTGCCTGTTTACCAGACCACATCATAAGTTCTGCTCCAATATCAAGGATGAAACAATCACCTTCATTCATCGAGGAAACCGCACAGGGAACCTGCAAATTTAACACATGTATAGGATTACAGTTATAGAGGGAGGACTTGGACAAGGATTACTGTAAGGTTTAGGATTGTATTTAAATTGTTCATCTGATATAGAATTGACCCAGAAGATATAACATTTCCAAAATGTAGGTTTATGTCTGATTTCAATAAATCAAAAAATACTGAACTGTAAAGACACGTGGATTGAAGCCTCCTTTCACTTGCAATAATCTTTGAATGTTTTCTTTCTCGACTTTCTTGAAGCCAGTCGCCACACCACCTTCCATGTACTGGATTCCTGACTTGAAGTAGGACAGGAATTTCTTGCTTTCATGCTCTTGTACCTACATGCAGAAAAGCAGATTATGTTACAGGCTTGTTACAGATTTAACTAAACTAACTTTACTTCTGTACTAGATCAATAGCTCAATCAGTTTTAAACTGTTCTCTATGGAGCCTTACAGTTTAGCTAAAGCAACTTTACTTCCGTACTAGATCAATAGCTCAATCAGTTTTAAACTGTTCTCTATGGAGCCTTACAGATTTAGCTAAACCAACTTTACTTCTGTACTAGATCAATAGCTCAATCCGTTTTAAACTGTTCTCTATGGAGCCTTACAGTTTAGCTAAACCAACTTTACTTCCGTACTAGATCAATAGCTCAATCAGTTTTAAAATGTTCTCTATGGAGCCACAAGAGTCCAATGGGAGACATTCCTTATTACTCCAGTGCTATGACCTACAACAGAAAATTAAACCATTCCAAGTCTATATATTATATACAATAATAACCCTAACCTCTCTGTATTGTACAGGTGTGCCTCCAAGACAGTCATCAAGCTCTACAGACTTGATCGCTGCTGTACCAGCCTCGTCCTAAAAATGTAAGTATGAAAATCTTGATGACCTCATCATCTTACGTTATTAACTGTCTTTAATTTATAGTTGATACTGAACTAATCAACAATCGTATTTCTAGAAGAATTAAAGCAAATGATATATACCCTTGATGTTTCTTTTCCAAGCCAAAAATGGACATTGTATTCGCCAGCTCTTTTATTTTTCTAAGCGACAAAAGACCAAGAATAAGCCAAAAAATACATCTGGCAAAACAGACTTGACCCATTTGAGATAGTAAACTATTGTATTTTAACTCATTCTGAGTCTTGTAGGAAAGATAGCACTTACATAAAGTAGGATGTAGGAGTCTCCTGAATGGAACTGACCATACTTCTTCTTGTCAAGTGGAACCACTTGCATTTTCTAAAAATTCAGTTAAGTTGAACGCATGCTATGCAAAAACAATTGGCATCATGAGCAAATAGATATTTGTGGCTGATTTAACATGCATGGAATTAACTTAATTTATCTAAATAATGGGCGATCAGTATTAGAAAATAAAAATAATAATTTTCTACAACTCTCACCCCATTATTTTTTAAAATTATTTATTTATTTTAACTTTTAATTCTATAGGATTATACGGAAGACCTTTTTTTCAATATTTTTTATAATAAAATGGGACAAAAGACCTTCCGTATAATCCTATAGAATTAAAAATTAAAAAATAATTTTAAAAAATAACGAAAGTGAAACCAAGCCAAAATCTAAGTTAATTGGACTGTACGAAACAATATAGACCTTATGCATAATGACATCACAAAGCTTGATGCCCGCGAGGAATGCTGGTCTTAGTAGTCATCGCCCGGGAAAATTTCGATAGTGGCCATTTTGAATTGTTTAATTTTCCCGGACGATGACTACTAAGACCAGCATTCCTCGCGGGCATCAAGCCTTGTGACGTCATTATGCATATAAGGTCTATTGGCATATAGTAAGCTTTGCAGTTTAAGTTCCAACTATAATGCAGTAAAATGTGTAAAATTTAATTCAAAATTGCATTTCATGTTACCCACCTCAATTCTCCAAATACACGTTCCATCAGGCTTATCTTTTACACTTCGAAACGCGGGATCAACAACCAAAGGCATCTTGAAATTTCTGTACAAAAAACATTCAACAATTTCTGTGTTAAACACTGCATCAGTCCCCTCAGATATACATTTCTTACAAATCCTTCAAAACTTTGCATTTACCTATGCAAAATTCTTACTGTGATCACAGAAACTTTGATAGTGTAAACCTGCCTTAATATTACTAGAGGAATACATTATAGAAACTCTATGGAATTACCATAGAAACCGTATGGAATTACCATAGAAAGATAGGGACCTGCGGTGTTTGCCAAAGTCAAACTGAAAGTACTCTCGCATACTATACAAAGATGAAATTACAAGAGAAAATGCATTTTGCGAGAGACAACCTGTTGATGGAATCCTGGAGAGGGGAAAATTACCGCTGTGCTACGGACACCGATATTTTTTCATGGCCTGGGATGTTAATGTTTTCGGTTCTTTTCCCCAGAAAAAAAAACAATGAGCGTCTTTATTACTGGAACTTATTTGTTGTATGCATAAAGCTGCTATTCGTTCTCTGCGGACATAGTGTAAAATTATAGAAGATCGTTAAATGAACGAACCATTTAAACATACGCGCGCATCTCGATCAGGAAATGAAAGGTAAACACTTAGACCGCTATTAAAGCCTCGTTATAAATGCATGTTGTGACCGTTCACTGAAGCATACAATCGCGTAGGCGTAGATTTCCAGCTTGGAAGAGAAGCTATCTAATATGTGTAAATGCCTAGTCGATACACACAGCACGTTTAAAAAAGGAAGAATTGTACTTGGGACATGGCGGGACATAAATGGTAGCGATTCCACCTTGTATTATACAAGTTATCCCGTCCGAAATATTTTAATGATATGTTAAAACCACTAGCAGCCATTCAAATACCTCAAACAAACAGGTATATGATTAAACTTATGAATATTTTAGATCGAGCGACGCTAACATCGAGTATAGCACTTGTTCTCAAATGTATCGACGATGATACGGAAGACTTAATTATCTATTTGTTCCACATATACATTTGTACGCCTTAGAACATAAACCAAGTCCACTTAATATATAAATAGAAGCCCGCAAAACATTACTTTTGTACATTTTAGGCCACAAATTTGCACTCATTCATAATTTGGCATATAAAGCCCAGTGAGGCTCAAAAGGCCTCGAATTTAGCGAACTCGATACAGATAATTCGTAGTCCAGTTACAACACTGAGATGTAAAGCGCTGAGTTGGATTGCCCAAGACAATGTCCTCGGTCACTTGTGGAAATTTAGATGTGTAATATCGTTTGATGCATTAATACATAAAGCAAAATGAAGTGGGGCAAACTGACATATATATAATTTACATCACAATGTTACAATGAACTGTGCTCTTAGCTAGACAGACTGAATTCTGAAGATCGACTTACCTTTGGATCCTAGTCGAGTATTAACGCCTTTAGTACAGTTAATAACAACTCTCGACAGCGCCCCCAATACGAACAATCTAGGTTTGCCAGCTAGCTAATTCCCAGGACAAAGCTTTGACCATATTTGGTCACACAACGGATGGATTAGCCAATAGGATCTCAAGGATTCGTCCACGTTACACTATCACAAACTCTAAGCAAAATGTAAACAAAATTTCCCGCATTTTGAAGTTGAAATATCTGACAAGCTTAGTTAAGTGGATTCATGTTATAATATTGATATGTTGCTATGGAAGTAAATTTGTCGTATTTAATAAATTACAAGTTGGTTCTAAGTTCCAAAACTTTCAAACTATTTTGAAGACAAAACTGCATACCAGAAAGGCGTCCAGCTATCACCGTTATTTATTTAAAATTCCTTCACTAACAGGTCATGCCCACCAAACTATTTCCCACGAAAGTCTATAAATATATATAGTTCAGAAATATAGAATTTGATGCAAAGAATCAATGGCAGAACCAAACGTAATCCAGGTCATTTCAGTCCCATTTTTAGCTAGTTTTTAACCAAATTTTTTAGGACCAATTACTCGAGAAATTTCGAGGCATTTTGTAATTGAATTTAACAATGTGAGCCCCAATCAGTTAGAATTTAAATTAATTGTGCTAGCATTAATTCGTGGCTGAATTAATTGAGTAGTACTGTTAGCAGTTTTTAAACTGTATTTTTTTAATTTAAGGAATAAGGATGATGCAAGGTATAAAATTATTTTATTTGCAAGTATAAGAAATTTATGCTTTTGTTTTAGCCTTGCCTGAAAAACGTTTAGGAAAAATCTGGATTTAAGTATACAAGGTTGAATTAGTTTGATTTACTATTTTTATGATCAAAACTCAAAAGTTTATAGGAATAGCGTGTTGTGTTATAAATAAATTAAGAATTCATGAACGAATAATGCAAAATACCTGGAAACCTGCTGGTATAATTGGAAATGAAAATAAAAACATTTCGTCTAACTTCAGGATTTTATTGTGTATAATGGTGCGACAAAATATGTCCCTGTTTCAATGTATATAAAACTGTTTCTTCGATATTTTGTAGTCTTACATACTATGAGAAAAATCTAGAATGTCCAGAAATTCTTGTCGTGTGATTGTATCACTTGAACTTCAAACTATCAGACCTTCCTGTGTCATTGTTTTGAAATGTGATCACTGACCAGAACGAATGATTCGGTTGAACAAGTTTCAGTCTTTCAAAGGAAAGCTGTAAACATTGTGTCCATTTTTCCATACTTTCTGGATGTATATAAAATTTTCATTTTTGAAAAAGGTAAGTTTTCAACAATCATGTCCTGTTATATAAGCCTTACTGTCAAGTGGTGGCTTTAAATTTGGAAAATATTTAGTTTTTTTGTAAGTTCTTAAAAGGATATATTTCTGCAATTTTTCTCTAGTAACGGAAGAGGGCACCTCTGGATACCAGCTTTTGTAGGTGAATGAGCCATCCTGCCTAAATAAAGTCACTTCAACATTTCACATGCTCAGAGCCGAATATTAACACTTGAAAAGCCGCTACAAAATGTACCAAAATAAACCGAACTATTTCTTGTTGAAACGAAGCCAAAGAGGCGGACGCCAGCTAACGCTGAGCAATGCTAAAGTATCATTGGTTAGTTAACCAGCTTTGCTATTGGTTGAATCTCACGATTCACTAGAAATACAACGAAAGTCCCTAATAATCAATAGTGTTTATGCAAAAAATTAACAAAATTGAAAAACGTTTTGTCTAACCATGAAGAAGGGAAAAGGCCAAATATTTTTTGCAATGCCAAACAAAAAATAAAGAGCTCCAAAACACATTTTTTAAAATATTGATGAACATATGGGTATAAGCGAGACGATGCCATCAGTCATAAAGGGATAATGCGGGGTGTTTGATAATGAAATTATTTATGCACTGGCCCGATGACGCAAGGAATCATGGTATCGTAAACTACTTAAATCGGCGCCATATTGGACTAGTGTATTGGAGCATTTGGAGGTATATTTGGACTTGTGTCGTGCAAAACAACACAGGAAAATGTATTTATTTCAAGCAGCTAGACGTGCATCTTCTAAGTTGGCGTTTCGTCGTCTTGCAACATCACCAGCCGAGGGAAAACAACCTCTGGTGAGTTTTTAGAAACAGAGTAATTGTGACATTGTGTAGTTCGAATAACTGAAATGTTGCAAATAATGTAACGATATAGTTCTAATATACTTGTTCCAAATATAGAAAATATATAGAAAACGCAGGTTTCGTTATGAATAAAAACAACACATATTTTGACAATCATGATTATATTACAAAATGGTTTATTTTTCAAGACACTTTGGAGTGTATATATGTTATTTTACCAATTTTATGGTACAACTGCAGTTTAGCGGACAGCGACCAGTAATTACAGTGGGCTCATAAAGTATATGTTTTGGTGAGAGATAGAGGTGTGCATTGGATTGGATTGGAGGTTTACAATCCAACAATTGGTAATTTTTTCAAATCCGATCAAAAATTGTCTGATGCGAGTTTGTTATTAAAGTGTTCTGATCCAGAAAAAAATCCGAAAAAACCTTCAATAAATTAAATTTTCTAGATAGAAGCCAATTTGCAATCTTGCATAAAAATAACTCAGATCTTTATTCTAGAGTTTAGACAATAGACAATTAGAAATAAACAAAATTGAAAAAATTATTAAACGGAAGCGTCATAAGCCTTTAGTTTTCACAGCAGCCCTGGTAATCGAATTATGAATTATGAATTATGTTGGAATGTATTGGTTATAAATCTTGATTTGCCTTAGGCCAAAAAAGGTTAACAAAGCAAGGGTCTTCAGTTGATTGTTTCTGACATCTGCCTTGGCCAGATGTTCATATAAATCACCTTGGTGAATAATGTTGTATTTACTATATAACAACCCTATATGTAAACAACACAAGATCTACAGCACAATATGCAGTAAAAGTTTCTATAAAAATGTGCAAATTTTATTTAGGGTGTTGGTCAGACTGTCACGGTGATATCTTTAATAAGTGTTGGAGTTTTGGGACCCGGAATGTACTTGTTGTTGACGAGACCAAGATTTGTTAAAGACTAGTTGGAACACATTACTTGAATAAATGGATTTATGAATGAATATTTTTTGTAAAACTTTTGACATGGACATGCGGTAGTTAAGTCATTGAAATGTGTGTAAAAGTTTTAATACTATGAATGTTTTAATTATATGGCATCACTAGCCTATTTACCATATTCTGTTAATTGCTAATTTTGTATTGTGTTTCTGCCAGTACTTTGTACATGTAAGTCCATCACTTGCATTATCGCGGTCCATTATCCAATATACCATTGTTAGATGTATTACTGCTTAAGGCTTGTTTACAGGTAAATCTAAGTAGAAGACTCATAATCTATCCTTCAGCAATGCCACACTTTGCTGTTGTCACTGACAAATTTGTTCTCATAATCATACTCATAGCTGCATCTAAAGCACCTCTTCAAAATAGAATCAAGAGACACAGGCTGGCTCTGTCCTGGGGGCTAAGATTTGTTGCCGCTGGCAACTGGCAAGAACTCATGGCTGGAATCTTTGCCTATTTGGTAGATAGGAATGTTTGATTGTTTTATAGTCTATATTTTGTCTAAATCATTAACAGGTTGGCTGAGCCTCAGGCCAACAATGTTAGAATTTTTCCTATATAAAACACGCTTTACATCAAAACAAACAAATTAATACTAAAACAGAATGTTTTGGTTGCTTCGTCTGCATATCTCTGAAGTTCCCTTTATGTAAGCTCAAAAGGGGACACTAGTTCCAATTAAATAAATCACCACAAATTGTAAACAAACCAAAATGTGGCGTGCAGAAATGAAATTTGACAACCCCCTTACAAACTACGCAAACCATTTTCAAAGTCACGAAATATGTTCAAACTACTTAAAAATAAAAATATTTATACACAATTTTATAAAACATTAACAAAATATAAAAAGAATGGGGTAAAATGCAAATAAAATATCACATAAAACCCACAAATTTGCTATTAAAGCTCATTAGAAACGGAAGTGCATGTACGATTTCCGGTTCGAAAATACAAACAAATTAAATGTTTAATGTTGCGAACCGCGATCTGATTGGTTAAAATGACTACAGAGACGCTTATTGCGGCACGCTGATTGGTCCGTCGACTGGAGAATACAATTTCGTGCAGGTGCTGGCGTGTTTATCAACAATACAAAATTTTATCGGCTTTGTTTTATCGATATTTTGCTAGCTTTTCATGCGCACAAAGGAAAATAAAATCCACGTTTTTCTTTCATGGACTTGAAACATAAATGCCTTCGAATGAAATGAGCTTTAAGCGTATGGCTACAAGAAGTTCACCAAGGCGCTGTGTTTTGGAGAGGACAGCTGTCTCAAGAAAAGGTCAAAATAATTCTAAATTTTTAAATTGGTGTACATTTCTCGTATATAGTAAATTCACTTTCGAATACAACTGATTTATTCAGAGGCAAACAATAACAAAGGCGACCTTTTAAATTTTTAGGAAGCATCAGTTTGGTAAAAACTGCAAGATCTTGCAAGGATAATCAGCTCGATCGATCAGAGATCATTAAAACTAGCGTTCGGCATGCAAACGTAAGTTTGAAATAATTTTATGAAATTTAAAATATTTATGAGTTGAATATAGTTCATATTTGGTTCCATTGCTGTGTCTTTGATATGGTTTGTTCCTTTTTTGCAGTGTGTATCGTCAAGGGCAAAACGATCATGCACCCTTGGCAGATCAAGGATTAGTGAACAAAGCAGAAAAGGTACAGTTATAATATACTAATTTAAGAAATTGATATTCTTGATTGAAATCCAGTGAATATAAGACAAATATATGATATTATATTCGCCAGATAACTATTGATAGAATTATTGATATAGTGATCAATTGGAATCTGGTCCTTTACGGAATAGAAATGGTTAGGGAGTGTCGACAAATAGTTCAGATTTTGAGCACCACTGTGCAGATGTTACCATTGACCAATCAAATGTATTTATTCTACCCACTGATGATTCTACCCAGTAACCAATCTTGGGCCCGCAGTAATTGGCAATAAGCTGTTGCGGTGACCCGGCCACACTATTTTGTTGTAATTTTAAATTGTTGTTGTAATTTTATGCAGGCAAAGTTAATAAATAAATTTAAAAAAATGCATATTAGGCCTGTGAGTGTAGTGGTATACTGACTTGTTCTGCAAAGGGAGAAGCCTCGTTGCTAAGAATCCACAATTACAATAACTAGACATTTTCCACAGTTAGGTGGGGGGAGAGGGTAAAAATTGATCTTGGAACAAGTCAGCAATTTGGGATGAAATGTCTTTATGGACATGATTTCTTAGACTAGTAACATTGTTGCTTTGGTGTTGCATCTTTCTTGTTGGTTGGAATGTATGCCTAGAGAAATATCATTACACCCCCCTTCCACCTGCCAATTTGGTGATTGTTGGTAAATTCAGATTTCTTGACTATTATACCAGTAATACTGATATGTTGTGCTGTATGTAATGTTTACAACATGAGCGGCCATGTTGTATCAGATATACAAACGACTTAAAAAACGACTCATCTTATGAGTTCATTGGCGAAGTAATTTTAAAAATAAACGTTGTCTAAGCCGAGAAAATATAAGTTAAAGTTTATGTAAATCAACATGAATCTGTATCACATATACAGATACGACACGCTTATGATTTTTCTTTGTGTTTTCTTCATGAATTATTAATGAGTTTTTTAAGGATCTGTATTAGTGCATGTCTGTATGTTGCCATTTCAACCCAATCCTGCCTGTTGGCATTAACCCTAACAGAGCCTCGTTTAATTCATTTAAGCTCATAAGCAACTCCAAACTTAAGTGTCAAACCGTCACAGGCACTACATCTTTAATTATCACTTTTTCCAATAGGTCATACCTCAACTCCATATTTCCAATGTCAGTTACCTGATGAAGTGTTGCTCAATCTGTTCAGTTTTTTGCCAGCAAAGGATATCTGTACATTAGCATGTGTGTGTCAGAGATTTGTAAAGATTTGCAAGGATTCAACATTGTGGTAAGAGTCAATTCATGAATACTATTTTTTCTAAAAACAAGCTACAGTACATAGTAAATACATTATATACATTATTAACCCCCCTCCCCCTAATAAACACACCCCTCCCTCTCTAATAATTTCCCTTTTTTGAAGAAGAAATTTCTGCTTTAGGCACCCCATCCCCTTAGGCATCCCTCTCTCTCAGGTCCCCCATCCCCTTGACTTACCCTCTCTCCCCTAGGCCTGCCCCATCCCCCTTCACAACAAAGAAACACTTGTTTACTGATTATATGTACCACTAATGGCCTGGATTTAGTTTAACCCATCGAGTGGCACCACTTCCCCCTTGACAAGTAAAATTGTCTGGCATTAGACAGAGTAAAATAATAAAATAGAATGCATCAGGGTGGATTGCCACTTAAAGGGTTAAAGCATTTGTGAATTTCAAAAGCTGGCTCCCCCCCCCCCCCAAAAAAAAATTGAAATAAAAAGCCTTGAAATAAAAAGCCTCCTGTGGGTTTTATTGTTTCTTTGCAACATTAGCTGTATTAGTTCTAAACTGTTCTCCCTACAGGTCCTGTGTCACTTAACAAGTAGAAAACTATCAGATTACTCTACATAGTAGAAAACAGCATTTGTGGACCAAACACAATAACCATTATATTAGTCTCGACCCTTCAGTAAATTATTCTGGGATTGGTTCCACCCCAGGTTTTATCTTTATCCAGAGTGTCAAAACTCACTATTTCATAATGTTTTCTACAGGGAACAACTTTACAAAAGCACCTTTGGATTAGATTATTTACTAAAGAGGAATAATCGAGGATTATATGAAAGAATCCCTCATGGTGCCTTGACAAAGGATTCTTGGCACGAGGCTTTCATTTCCTTCTACCACTCACACCACGTGGTTTGCAAAGAATCACAGAAAAAGTGTGAACATGTTCAGGTATCTGATGTTCAGTCATATCTGTTTTACCCTTCTAGAGAAACTGGGGGTAAAGAGAGAATTTTTAGCAGAATTGAGTTCAAAATATTTAGTCAAGTGTAGAATTGTATTTCGTTTCTCTTTTTTGAAGAAATTCTACTGATGTTTTTCTCAATCTAGTATCACAGCAGTCTTGAAGAAGCCATTAAGTGCGTTCCTGAGAATGGCATAATCATTGTCCACCCTGGTATCTACAGAGAGGAGTTAGTTATTAAGAAAACAGTCACTATCATTGGTGCAGGTGAGAGGGTACTTTACCCTACGGTTAACCAAGAACAGCATTCTGCTCCTGAAATAGGAATACATTCACTTATAAAGAAAAATAATTTCATGGGATGAGTTTCCCTAAAATGTGATGAACAATTTTTTTCTTCCAAATAGTTTACAATTCGGTGAATTGGCTATTGTTTGGAAGTTGGAACTAATACGTTTCCAAATGCCAGAACTCAGTTTTCAAATGCCAGAACTCCTTTTTCAAATGCCAGAACTCCTTTTTCAAACGCCAGAACTCCTTTTTCAAATGTCACAACTCCATTTTCAAATGCTAAAACTCTGTTTTCAAATGCCAGAACTCCCTTTTCAAATGCTAAAACTTTGTTTCCAAATGCCAGAACTCCCTTTTCAAATGCCAGAACTCAGTTTTCAAATGCCAAAACTCAATTTTCAAATGCCAGAACCCCGTTTTCAAATGCCAGAACTTCGTTTTCAAATGCCAAAACTCAGTTTTCAAATGCCAGAACTCCCTTTTCAAATGCCAAAACTCCGTTTTCAAATGCCAGAACTCCTTTTTCAAAAGCCAGAACTCCCTTTTCAAATGCCAGAACTCAGTTTTCAAATGCCAGAACTCCTTTTTCAAATGCCAGAACTCCTTTTTCAAATGCCAGAATTCCCTTTTCAAATGCCAAAACTCAGTTTTCAAAAGCCTGAACTCCCTTTTTAAATGCCCAAACTCCCTTTTCAAATGCCAAAACTTAATAGTTTTCAAATGCCAGAACTCCTTTTTCAAATGCCAGAACTCCTTTTTCAAATGCCAGAACTCCCTTTTCAAATGCCAGAACTCAGTTTTCAAATGCCAGAACTCTTTTTTCAAATGCCAGAATTCCCTTTTCAAATGCCAAAACTCAGTTTTCAAAAGCCAAAACTCAGTTTTCAAAAGCCTGAACTCCCTTTCAAATGCCAAAACTCCCTTTTCAAATGCCAAAACTTAATAGTTTTCAAATACCAGAACTCCTTTTTCAAATGCCAGAACTCCTTTTTCAAATGCCAGAACTCCCTTTTAAAATGCCAGAACTCACTTTAAAATGCTAAAACTCTGTTTTCAAATGTCAGAACTCCCTTTTCAAATACCAAAACTCCGTTTTCAAATACCAAAACTCATTTTTCAAATGCCAGAACTCCTTTTTCAAATGCCAGAACTCCCTTTTCAAATGCCAGAACTCCCTTTTCAAAAGCCAGAACTCCCTCCTCAGGTGCTTAAACTCAATTTTCAAATGTAGTCTGTTTTCACAATATAGTTTCAATACTATAGTTTCACAATATAGTCTCATGTATTATAAAGTTTTCACAATATAGTCTCAATACTAGAAACGTAGTAATTTTTTAACGGAATGTTAGCCGTAGCGTTATAGTGTAAGCGTGGCCTTATACGACACGGCAGCTTATAGAATGCACCATCTTGTGGCGCGCATTTCTGTCTTAAAGTAAGATTATATACCGAATACTTTGTTCTTTTCTTATCAGGTTCTGAGGACAAACCCGAGGTTACAATAGAAGGATCGAACGCTACCGTTGTAAAATTTGTTTCTGGATCAAGCACTTCTTACATTCGAAATATCAGTATAAAAGTAAGGATTGATTGTCTCTAATTTTCGATTATAGACCCATTGCACTGACGTCACAAATCCTTAGAGTGTCCTCCAGATGCTCCCTAACAATTTCTGTTCGGGTACAACAATCACATACAGCGCAAAAATTAACCATTTTAATACAAAATTTGCTTTGTTTACAAAAGTTATATTATGCATAGATTGCTAATTTGTCCTCCAGATGCATCGTCACCGGCGCTGTGACGTCATGTGCAATGGATCTATTGAATCATGTGATCCAAATTGTCTTAGTTGGTAGTTGATAATCGTAAATGGATCTTTCATCTCTCTCTCTCAGACATGACTCTAGCCATCTTTTGAATGTTTCCTGTGCACTCTGAATGCATCAGCTACAATACTTGATACATGTTGCTAAATTTATAAATGATTATAAATTTCTGAATTGAATTGTCTATTTTCTAGTACGTTGGTGGCGATGGAGCATCGTCTCGGCCCAGTTGTCTAGATATTGGTTCAGACTGTAGCGCTACCATACACCGCTGTAATGTGGCTAGTAAAGCAAATGGTAAGTTTAGATCAGGATTTCCGGGCATAAGCGTAACTTGGGTATTACTGCTAGGGGATGTGAGCTGTTTCGCCCGACCAAAAGGGCGTGGCGAAAGTTGTGGCCGACAGACATTTCAGTCGCTAATTAATATTTCTTTTCCCAAAATGGTTGGGGAAGGGAGGAAGGAAAGAGGAAAATACATTTTTGGACATATTATCTTTCACTATTACGTGCTGAAATGTGTACAATTTTTCAGTAATATTTTCGTAAATTTATCAAAAGTTTTCCTACAAGTATCACTTTTCAAATTTTTTTGCAGAATTACATATTTTTTGCCCGACGACCGTGTCGTTAGAATTGCTAAAATTGCCCGACAAAACTGCAAAATTGCAACATTGGGGGTGCCCAACCCCACTAGGAGAGTTACGCCCCTGTTTTCGGGCATCTCATTCGATTGAACTACACACGTAAAAACGCACAAGTTTTAACAAACCAACTTCAGGAATTAGTAGAATCTCACAGTACCATGGTACTGCTGTATATATGTAATGAATGTCAGTACTGTGTTGCACAAGAGACGTAACGCGTGCTTATTATTGATTGCAAAAAAATGTTTTCAGCTGGATCCACGGTATATGTTCATGGTAAGAACGCAAGACCTCGTGTGATTAATTGCTCTATAACGGACTCTGAAAATGTTGGCATATTTATCAGTAATAACGCACAGGTAACGTGTTCACCATTTGTATAAATTACGTACTCTATGTCCTGAAATGATGGATTTAGGGGTAAAAAATCGCTGTATATAGTACCAATCGTGCTTGTCCGCTGTATTAGAAGAGATTCGCCAAAGATTTTTCTTTCACAACTTGAAGACGAAAATTGTCCCCACGCATGACAATTGTAGTATTTATTTGCATTTTTGCAGGGTATTTACGAAAACAACGAGATTAGCAACAATAAATTAGCTGGTGTTTGGGTGAAAAATGGTGGAAATCCTATCATGAGAAATAATAAAGTCCATCATGGTCGCGATGTTGGGTTCTTTATCTTTGATAATGGACAGGTGTGGAAAATGCTAAAAATATTAATATTCGCCCAATTTGTGCTAGAGACGAAAGTGGCATCTTAAATTTAAAAAAAACTTAAACTGACGATTATATGTACGTTTCCATATATTTTAGGGGTATTATGATGGTAACGATGTTTTCAGCAACAGGATAGCAGGGTTTGAAATACGAACAGGAGGGAATCCGACTGTAGTGCGATGTAAAATACATCATGGCCTCACTGGAGGAATTTATGTTCATGATGAGGTAATATTTACACTGACAGCGTGAATTCTAAACTGTTGTTGCTGAAGCAGCATTAGTAGGTTCCAGGCATTCCCACGACTTTAACTTTAAAAAAAACAACAAAATCATACGGAGATAAAATGATTAGATTCAAATAAGATTCTTTTGTTTGAATGCCCTCGATGTGCAATGAATTGGGAAAAAATGAAAGTCGTCTCATACGAGTGATATACCTAATCCTATTGGTCTAGCGTTAAAACCTACCCATGAAAACCTTATTACCTGGAGAATATAGACCCATTGCACATGACGTCACAGCGCCGGTGATGATGCATCTGGAAGACAAATTAGCAATCTATGCATTATATAACTTTTGTGAACAAAGCAAATTTTGTAAAAGTTTATAATAATTTGTATTAAAATGGTTAATTTTTGCGCTGTATGTGGTTGTTGTACCCGAACAGATATTGTTAGGGAGCATCTGGAGGACACTTTAAGGATTTGTGACGTCAGTGCAATGGGTCTATAGCTAGACCTGCGGTATCTGATAGGACCATTGAAACACCACTCTTCTCACTTGCAAATGAGGTGAAATTATAATCAGACAACTGTATAGTGCAAGAATAAGCCATGGTCTCATATAGTTGAAAGGCACATGTATTAATCATCTTGCATGCTACCAACACCGCTAAAACTGTTCATCTGTTGTTTCTCCAGGGTCGTGGACAATTTTTAGAGAATAAAATTTATGCCAACACCTTTGCTGGAGTCTGGGTAACGTCCAGAAGTAATCCGACTATTAGGTATGTTTGGTGAACACACGCTTACTTACTTGTACGTGTTTAATATTGTTAACTTAACAGGAAGTAAAATATATTATTTAATAATTGTTATAGAGAGAACGAGATTTTCAGTGGCCAACAAGGAGGTGTGTTTATTGGTTGATGGTAACTTTTAGCGACAGTTGCCCTGTGTCTCCTGTGTCAATATTTGCATATCCAGCTTATTCTGCAACCGATGAAAATCTAAATGATTTTGTTTTAATAATTTTCAGGGGTATATGTGTTTGGTGATGGGCGAGGTGTTATAGAAAACAACAATATTCATAGTGAGTTTAATTTGTTACTGCAGGATAGCTAAATTCATTTCTGCCCATGCAATATTCGAGCATTTAGCTAACTTGGCAAGAACAAAAACGAAGCATAAATGCCATCAGCTGTGGTTTAACCTCGTATATTTAGTCTATCCCTCCCAAATCTATTTGCTTTTTTAAATTTTTCATCATGCATTCTATCCCGAAATGTTCCGAGAAATAATTTTCTGCGTCCAAGTGGTGTTGTGGTCCGAAACTCTTTCCCCCCAATTGCTACCAAAATCACCAGCGTAATATATTCATCGAGAATTTATCATTAATTATAGGTAATGCCTTGGCGGGAATACAAATTCGTTCTCAAAGCAATCCTGTTGTTCGACACAACAAAATACATCACGGACTTCACGGTGGAATCTATGTGGTGGGTGTTGATTTGTGTCGGTTTCTAACTGTATTATAAAGGCTGATTTACACTGCACAACTTTTGCCAAAAACTGTTGCATGCAACCTGTTTACAACTTGAGTTGTACTGTGTGAATCAAGCACACAAGTCACCTACGACATCGTCAACCTCGTACCCAGGTTTCTCTTTTTGCTGGCCGCGAGCTGAACCAGCAAAAAGAGAACCCTGCGTATGAGGTTGCTACAACGTGTGTTTGATTTACACAGTACAACTCAAGTTGTAAGTTGGTTGCATTTCGTTGCATGCGACATTTTTAGACAAACGTTGTGTATTGTAAATCGGCCTTAAGCCATTTTTAAGTCGAAATGCCAACCCCAATCCTGAACTAGCTGTGACGTCATCTATATGAAAGGTCACTGTATTTATTTCAGCATGAAGGTGGTCTTGGTTTGATTGAAAATAACGAGATTTATTCAAACACGTTGGCAGGAATTTGGGTCACTACAGGTAAATGTGTTACGTTATGTATAATCGTATGCGGAAATCAGCGATAGCCTAATTTCCTGGAGTGTGGTTTCCGATTCATCATTGTATCTGCATGGAAGGCGTCCATTTGAACTGGAACGCGAATGGGATTATGGGACACGCTGTTAGGCTATTTCTGAATCACAGAAGTGAGTTCTAAACAGTAAAGTGCATGAACACAAAGACTCGGTATGTTCGTTTTGGATGACCATATATGTGTATTCTATTTCAACAGGTAGCTCTCCAGTTATGAGAAATAACAGAATTCACAGTGGTAAACAAGTAAGGACCAAACCATTGGATTACATACTCCGTTTCTCCAGATTTTAATAGATGTAACAAAATTACTTAACATTATATAATACCTACCTACCTACAAGTTAAATGAAGTTTCTATAAACAATTAACCCTATACTACTGTTTTTAACACAGAATTTTTCTTTGAACGCATTGGTTGGTTTTCTTTCATAAATTTATGGAGTATATACATTAAAAATAATAACTGTAACATTTAACGGCTGCTAACCATTTATTCTTCCATTCAGGAATTGTAGTTGCAGATAGATTGGAAACAACACTTGGCTGAAATGGATAAATTCTTATAAATAGTCTAAACGAAGGTTTAACGATGTATTTAAAATAACCATATGCATATAGTTAAATTAGTTTTTATGCCGATTTTTTCTATATAATTTATAATGTTCACCATAGTTTATGAGTTTTAATTTGAAGTTGAATTAAATTTCTAAATTTTTCTTTAATTGATTAGTTCAAACTAACTGATTTAATTACCATAAATTTATGCTTTTAATAAATATAAATTTGGAAAATGTAACATTCAATGCAAATAAATAAATAATGTACTTCTTAAATTTAAAAGCCCTGGACAAGTACTTTCATATACAGCTATTTCAATTAAGGTTGTCCCCGAGCAAAGCGGAAAAGTCGAATACAAGCGCGGAAGGCTGCTGGGAATCGCTATTAAATTCATTCATTTATTAGCGATTCCCAGCAGCCTTTCGCGCTCGTATTCGACTTTTCCGCTTTGCTCGGGGACAACCTTAATTGAAATAGCTGTATACAAGGAAAAGTGAAATCAAGTCATAAGACATATTAACATGTTCTTAAATATGATTGAACCTACAATTTAATATTTTAAAATATAAACAATTAAGTAGTGTGCAATCATATTATACCTTGCTAGTATAGCTGTATATAAATCAGATTCGTAATTGGTATTAATACAAATATTTTGTGTTTTAAAAGGTTGGGGTGTATTTTTACGATAACGGTGCTGGGGTACTGGAAGACAACGAAATATTCAATCACAAATACTCAGGAATACAGATAAGGTGAAATTGACTGTCAGAATAATTTATCAAAAGAAAGTCTATTTTTTCGATGTTTCAATCTTTATATTCAACTGAACTGTACATAATAAAATTGTGTTTTTTGTTCAACTAGGACCTCAAGCAATCCTGTGGTAAGGCGGAATAAGATATGGGGAGGTCAGAATGGTGGTGTTTTAGTCTATAACCAAGGTAGAGACATTATATGTTTTTTGTTGAATCATTGACTTTCGTTGGTTAACAGTAAGCATATATGTACTACAAAATGGAAAGATAACTAAGCATGCAACAGCTATCTGGTCTACGGTCCGATGATTACATCTCACGTGTGAATCGTTTTCCTAGGGCGTGGTTTACTAGAGGAAAACGAAATATTCGACAACGCCATGGCTGGTGTGTGGATCAAGACAGAGAGCGATCCGATATTGAGAAGAAATAAGATTCATGATGGTCAAGAGGGTGGGATTTGTATATTTAACGGAGGGAAAGGTGAGATAGATTGACTGGTTTGTTTGTTTATCGTTAAATAATTGATTAATTTGTTTATTTATTAGATTATTGGTTGTCTTATTAATTGATCCGTTGATTGATTGATTGATTGATTGCTTTGCTTCTGATTGATTGGTTAATTTCTCATTGTTTAATTTATCGATCGTAACTGTCGTATACCTGTGTTTGCAGGTTTCCTGGAAAATAACGACATTTTCAGAAATGCGTTAACAGGTATAGTAAAGCTATATAATTCTTTTAGATGCGCGACCAATAAGTTTTGAAAGATTTGTAAGAAATGCTTGAGAGAACTGATTCAGGGATAAATCCTTCAAAACTTTTGCAAAACCGTTGCAAAATTCCTACTGTGATTACACAAAGTTTTATAGTGTAAGCCAGCCTTTACTGTGATCTTTATCCTCTGTTGGTTCTGAGACCAAAGATCCTGGGTTCGATTCCCATCACTATCAAGCAATTTTTGAGCTTGCCCATTGTGAAATTTACCTCCTGAATTCAAACATCTTCATTAGATTTAAAATATAAAGTAATTATTTTTGGAATGTATATATTTAGGCGTTCTAATTAGTTCATCGAGTTTTCCTGTGCTTCGTGGTAATCGAATTTTTGAAGGTGGCACCACTGGAATTGAAATTACAAACGGCGCAGGTATGTTCTCGGCATAAATTCTTCTTCTTCCAATAAAAGAGACTTCAGTTGCGTATTGAATTCGCTGAATATAGAACATTATTTTCTGTTTAACTTTTTGCTCTTAGGTGGAGTTCTAGAGTCCAATGAAATTTTCAACAACAAATTTAGTGGAATTTGTTTGGCTACTGGTGTGAAACCACAACTTTCAAGTAAGTTTGGTTAACAAAGTCATTAATAATTACAACATTAACTCACACCCATAATCTGTGGTATTGTATGCAACTTATGGGCAAGCCTTAAAAGCATTTTAATTAAATACCGCACAAAAAGAAAGTTTCCCCCTAAATATATCATCATAAGTTCTAAAAAAATTATTACCTGATAATCAAACCTAGCACTATTAAAGAATGACTTCTCCATTGAATACAAAAAAATACCCAATTTCAAAGTTAACAAGAATAACATGCATGTTTAGGATGTTTACTGTATTCTGTGACTATGTCTGTGCTGCACAATGTTGACTCATCTATATGTATAAATTTTTTTTCTAACTTGATCATTTTCCAAACCATATTAACTTTGGAAAGTGTAAAGATGGGTTGGAACGCATTGATCGTGTGTTGTAATTTTGTATTGTAGCTTTGTTAAAGTTGTAACCTGTCTCTATTGTTTTACAATGTCAGTGTAATGTGTAGGTAGGACTTGATTTGGGACTCCTCAGTCCTGTTGTCTGTACCTTCAATCGTTTTGTTGATTGTAAAGTTTATAAATAAATAAATAAAAAATGACAGAGCAAGAATGACTTTATTTAAATTTCACAATTTCACAACAACAGTAATGTTTCATCAATGATTTAATGTGTGAACCATTACGCTTTTCGATATATTAATTCAGCACCGTCTTCTCAGAAAGAGAATGGTGTGTGGTGTTTAGTTTGAACAACAACAATTTTAAATGAGCCAAATCTTAAATCTGTCCAGGTGATCTCGTGTTCGTATTTTAGCCAATCAGCGCTCAGAAAGGGTTGTCCGAATAGAAATCCATTTTGATGTATTCAGTCAATTATATCTTTCGTTGTTCTTTATGAAACTAGTTGAAATTTTGTAATTATGTTTGGTTATGAGAACTATAGCTCTGACAAAAATATGGAATCGAAATAAAGTATATTACAGGAGATATTCAGTTGTTTTAATCATAAAATGGATTTCTATTTGACAACTAGTGCCAGTATTTTTCCGCGTATCAAGATCATCTGGGTACGAAGGCACGTTTACCGACTTGCAATTTTTGCTGCGATTTTAGGTGCGATTTTCTTCTTCTGAAGGATGTGAACGAGTGGATGAGTCATGAATGTTCAGATGAGGGCAAGGGTGGGTTGACTACAAAATTTTTGTAGTTCGCTATAACTACAGCTACTTCAAAAATATGTAGTCAGCTACAACTACTGCTACTTTTGAACAAAGCTAGTTCGCTACTGACTACAGCTATACTGCTTAAAAAATGTAGCGAACTATTTCGCTATTTTGCTACTCTATATTTTTTAGTTTTACGGTATTTGGAGCATCCACTAGCTCAAGCTGTAAATCCTGTATTATAGCCTATAACAAATCGACTTACGAGTAGCAACAGTAAACAAAAAGGGTGAAAGCAACATTTTTGTAAGCACTACAGTGTTCAGGAGTGCTACTTTTCATTGCGCTAAAATAATCTTTACTGTATAAAATAATCTTTTAAGCAAACCGTGTCTTAATATCATTCTATTCTATGAACGGTTGCTAACAATTTTAAAAAGTAGCGAATAGCGATTCGCTGTTTGAAAAGTAGTCAACTATTTGACTACTTTTAGGCAAGTGTAGTTTGCTATAACTACAACTACTGTTTAAAAAAAGCAGTCAAAAACTACTGGCTACTTGAAAATTGTAGAAAAATTGTGGAAAATTGTACAACTACTTCGCTACTACCCACCCTTGGATGAGGGTACATACATTCGTTCACATGCATTAGACGAAGAAATCGCAGTAAAAAAGTGTAAAAGGACCTTAAAATCAATCTTAATTTTGCCATTTTGTCTTTCCAGATAATATCACTTATGACAATAAAGAAGTGATAAAATCCACTATAGAATCTGGATGCTGTTTGTATACAGTGTCTGGTAACACGTGCTATCCCATGCACGATTTTTACAGGTATAAGTCCGCTGCATGCTTTCAAGGAAATCTTGCTCGGATGTAAAGGGTTTAATCACGAGGACTTAACCGCATTAATTTGTATATTCTAGGTGTAATACCTGTGGTAGATTAGAGAATTTTGCAATTTGTGTCAATTGCGTTAAGCAGTGTCACCAGGGACATAATGTGGAGTTTGTTCGACGAGATAGGTAAATATTTTGTACGTTTCAAATAACACCCAAGGACAAATTCTGGTTCATCTGATAGAGGTTTTGCAATGCCTGCCCATTTAATTTATTTATACTGGATAACTGTACCAGTTATCTTCAAACTGTTCTACCTAGAGGATTTATTTATTTATTGATTTATTTATTTATTGTGCTTCGCTTCCAAACATTATACAATGAATGCATTAAAGAAGCTGGGACACCACAACAGCTTAACACCAATTACAGTGGGCCCTTTACAAAATATCAATATAAATATAGAAAACAGAAATAATTAACAATTTATTGCCGAAGGCTAGGTGATTATCGGTAAGTAGGGACAGAGACAAAGTCGAAGTTTTCATTTAACAATAACCACTAAGCCTAAGGCGAATAATTGTTTTAGTATAATTTCATAGGTGATTATTTGGGAAAAAAATAAAAATACACATTTCTTCGTCATTTAATAGTCAAAACTTAGGTGATTATCACGTTATAATCACCTCAACGGCAACGAATCAGCTTGGAAAATTTTCAATAATCACCTAAGTAATTATACTTACTTTACTTAAGGTACGTTTACACACCGCGATCCGCCGTGTACGACTCGTATTTTGGCGAATCCAATCTAGTAGGCACGCGTCAATTGTGCAATTAAAGTTTCGCTTCAATTCAGATTTTTGGAATTGAGGCATCAAATGAATTATACACCAAAATCCGAATCGCACAGGACAAATCGCAATGTGCAAACGCCCCTCTAGTAACAGCAAGTTAATGGTCGGATGAGACTTCTGCTTTGTTTACATTTGACACAGACAGTCTTCCAAGTTCGTGGATCGTCAACGTTGTAGCAGGATCGTAATGCAGTGTAGTATAGCATTCGTTATTGACCCAGTGTTACTACAGAAGGAAACTGGAGTACTTGGGGAAAAACTGTGGTGTTTGGTAGACTAGAGGCAAAGCAAAAGCAATCTTTACAGAATCATCCTCAGAGATCATGAAAGATATTTAGGCCCCAGTTACACGATACCGGATTCGCATCGGAGCGACATCAAATTTTACTGCTTCGAGGTGAATGTGGCACTTAAAATTATGATAATATAACGTAATTAAAAAGTTCATATATGAAAAGTTTTAATAGCAGACAAGACTGGAAAACACATTAAATTGATGTTGCTCCGATACGAATCCGGTTTGGGTACAACCTCGTTCCCAGGCTCTCTGCTCTTGTGAAGCAAAGACCCTGGTCGGGGCTGGTCACGTGACCCATAGAAAATTGATAACCTAAGAGGGGGATGGAGAAGTATCAAATTACATGTTTCCACTTCCGCACCTCACACTTCGATTGCAAGGAGTGACCGTTCTATACAATCATCTTTGAGAATCATATATACTTCAAAATACTTGCTAAATTGGTTTCTGTTCGCTTTTACATTATACAAACATGCTAAACTGTAGATTCTTATAGCAACAAACAAGTCAGAAAATCAAGCAACGAAAACGTATGATCGTATATGCTAGGAAATATTTGCCCTTTTATTGTCTCGGGGTTAGGGCGCAGTTTCATTTCACGCGTACGTTTCTGTATCTGGCTCTGATACGTATAATATTCTTATAATGTGCCATTGAATTGTTGTGATATGGAAACGGTATAAATTTTGTTAAATAGAGGATTAGAGGTCTCAAAAGCGACTGTGTAGGTCGTAGGCGCTACGCCTTGCTGGTCTTTTACAGCAAACGTTACACATTTGGACACTAGCCAAATAGACATTGAATGTCCATTCTATTGATTCTAAAACGGTTTATAGACATAGTGCTCTAGATTTTTTTAAAAAGGTTATCATCATTTATATTCAACACCAGGTAGGAAGGAATGTTAGCGTACAAAATTGTTTGGGATCGACAGTAAAGAATTATACGACAATTGACAATTGTATGCATTTCCTTTTTTGTCTGCACGAGTACCTGTTTGTTGACTCCAAAATCAGATTGCACAGAATCTCCGATATGAATTATATAGCCATTCACCCTCGCCCCTTGAGTGCAAAGGAATGATATCCGAAAAGGTTTAGCAAAGTATTTTTTATTATATCTGGTATAAAGTGTCCCTACGTTTTATCAGGGTATATATATATACATAATTCATAAACTGTATATATGCGCACGAAGTCCAGCTCTTAGAATTACTTGAGTTTTAATAAGCCTTTTAAAGTTTCCATTGCCTCTAGTATGGTTTGGTGAAACTGCTAAAATGTCATTTATACAGTATAGTATACGATAAAGATTATTTAAAGTTGATTTAAATATTGATGACCCACAGCAGCATTATACAAGTCCAAACAAAGAAGCTGTCGGGTTATTCTTCAAATATAAAGCACTGAATGGGCAATGGGAATGAAAGGTCTTTATAAGGTTTATAATGTACCTGCTGTAAATTACTGTAATACACAAAATATGAAATAATTACTATGAAGTACAATACCAGTGTCTGGTGCATGTATCGTCCTAAATATTCAAGTTATATGTACCGCACGCACGGAAACGCACAGTGGAGTCTTGGTGTTCGTCTGATGACAGATAGCTATACTTCGAGTCTTCGACATAATCATTCTTGATCGTTGAGTTTCAGCAATGTAAATGAAAGGAATTTTACCGGTCCCATAACGGGTTTTAATTAATCCTGTGCTTTCACAGTCAAGATAGCACTATTGTTTTGACACAGTTAGCGATGTTTGGGAAATCTTCCATTATAAAATAAATCCTTTGGCTTTGTTGAATATCGGACAGGATACACTTCAACCATAAACAACCATATCGTTCATTTAGTATCGTTTGATCGATCAGTCGGTATAGAATTGGGAAGACATATATGTTTCTACGGCGATGCGTGCTCAACGTCGCAAGCCAGGCGCGTGTGGAGTCCTTACTCAGTCCTTGGAAGTGAAATATGATCCAGCTTCTTGCTTGAAATGTACCGCAACACTTATAATTGATGACATTCAGTATAGCAGGAAGTTGTGTCATGATGAATACGAATTTAAAACTGTTCCTTTCACGATTCCTTGTTGCAAATTACATTTTTATCACCCGAAACTATAACACATAAAATTGCAATTTTCCAAACGCAACAAACAGACTCCTCGACTACCACCCCTCCCTGAGATCAATTCAATTTACCACGCAGAATCTGCGGGGTCACGTGACCAGCCCCGACCAGGGTCTTTGCTTCACAAGAGCAAACGAGGTTGGTTTGGGTATCGTGTAACTGGGGCCTTAATTAAATGACATATCTGTCATTACTCATTCTGTTTAGGTTTTTCTGTGACTGTGGTGCGGGAAGTACTGGAACACCGTGTCAACTGCTCAACAAAGATTCAAGCCTCGCTCAGAAGTCTTCAACTGAGCATCAGAGCATGCGCACTATGATAACACGTAGTAAGTCACGTGTCAATTCACGCTGTGGTTGCGATGTCACCAGTGGTGTATGGCACAATTTTGAGAACACGCAGAAAGTAAACACGGCCACGGAAAGTTCGTGAGAGATGAATGACCACACAGTTGTTGCAATGTTTAGTCCAATCGCAAAGTGCGCAAATGTACAGTACACAAGAATAAGCATATAAAAATGTATCATACTATAAATGCATAGATAACACTATTACATCTACTTATGACTAATATAACACATTGAACTAAAATAGTAACAGTATTTATTCGGAGCTAGCTATATTGAGAACATTATATGTACAGAAAATGAAATTAATATATGTAGGGTAAATAGATAATTTTTTCTTTGATTTTTGTGTGTTTGAAGTCCTGGTGGATCGAATTGCGTCGTAAGTAACGACGCCCTTTTTTCTCCCGTCCGCACTAAACGCCTGCTACGCAGGCTAGATGCATTTATTCTACCCTTAGCTCAATCTCGTTCCCAGAGTATGCCTGTTCCCGGGTTAGGTAGTGCCACTACCTAACCATACTCTGGGAACGAGATTGCCCTTAGCTAATCATAGCTGTGGAAAATTATATTTTTTATATTAAAATATATTGCCTTTCAATCAGGTAATTATGCCTGCAATTTCGTGTATGAAAATATTATATGAAGTACTTAACTTTTGTCAAAAATTCATTGACGATAAACAAAATGGCGGATTGCTGGAAGTTGAATGATTATTTACACTGCGGTATGTTATTTTTCTTTCATTATAAAAATACAGTTAGATAAATTTGGTAACATTTTGAATATTGATCAATGTTTTTGTAAAAATATTATGTTTTTATAAGATCTCGATTTTGGATTGTTGCTCACTTGCTCCAGAGCAACAACATGCAGCAAGGGTTCTGGGAAGTCATGACTAGGCCACATGCGAAATTCGATGTGATAGTTCAAAATGCCACAATATTTTATCCTGTGAGAGTTTATTTGAATGTTTAATTGTTGCCAAAGCCATTATGAGAATTTTTCATTTCTTCCCTATATATTTATTCATTTTATTGGCATTTTAATCGTAAATAGTAGAAATATAGCTCATAGTATACCAACGACTTCATTTTATGGGCGTTCTACCCAGAGGATAAGATTTAGCAATAATGGAATGAATGTAGAGACCAGACGGACCAGGGTAATTTTGCCAGATGGAGGTAGTAGCGAAGTCCAAGATGACAAAGATGAGGCCCTGTTAGGGTAAATTCCGACAGGTGACATGGCATTGAAACGGCGACATGGGAGAGCTGAAATGGCGACAAGCGAAACCAATTTTGGTTAAAATTGCGACAGTGAATTGGAAATAACAAAAAATGACAGCGAATCGTGTTATTCCTAACATGCGACAGCGACACTGTGTTATTTGTAGCTATTTGTACCTTTGACACCTTTCCACGCGTAAGAAATTATATTGAAAACAGTTTTGTAAAATCGTAAAACGCATCGAAGACATCGAAAATGTCACCCGGTACGACCATTTTATGCGGACTAGATAGTCGCTAAAGTATGCGGAAAAGTGGCGACTGATAGTCGAGGAAAATGTGCACCGTCGTATGGCTGAGCCTGCTAGTAAACCGTAACCACTGCACAAGAGTTTTAGTTATAAGTGTA